CCCCCCCCCCGTCAATCCAGGAACCCGCCCCCCCATCTCCAAGACCTCGAAGAAGCATATCCCGAACAGTCTGGCGCAAGACTGTCTTCAAGAACCTGCATCCCAGGAAACTCTCATCAACTTCGACACCCCCGAACAGCGACAAACGTACACCAGTTTTCTACCTGCCCGTCTAACCTTTCCACTGTAAGAACGACTGCGCCCGCAGGTCCACGGGCGTCTTGCCACCCGCGACGAGGCCGGCTACAAAACGAGTTGAAACACTCCTGCATAACGCGCTGCTCCGCCCACGCCAAGCGAGCGGTTTGTCCCCGCGCAAGGATGGGCAACGCATGCACGTCGTACGATGGGTCCGCCTTGGGCTCCGCCGATAAGAGAAACCCCAACGCCCTGCACCTTCCCTCGGGCGTTCCAAAAAGGGCACTCCCGAGGCAAGCACGGAGCTTACCCAGGGCAGAGGTGGACATGCCAGTGACACGGCAACCGCACGTGGCCGAGGGGGGGCCTCCCGTGCGAGCAATTTTGAACATCCCCTTCTTGGCACTACTGAGCCCCACGGATCCTTTTACCCCGAAGACGCATCTTGTGGAGACGCTTTTGGAGGACCTTTGAACCCTTGGCTCCTTTCTGCATCGTCTGGTCGCAGCCCAAGTTCCTGCCTGAGCTGACGCCAGTAAATTTCCACTTCTTGACCCTAGATACGATTGTCACCCACGCCGCCGAGTGACTGCACATAGCCAGACCTTTAGCCTGAGAGATGACCAACAGCAGCTTCTCGAGCTGCAGGCGCAGAAAATGCACGGCACGAGAGAGAACGTTCTGAAGATGCTGCCTGTTGCCTGACGCTTGGGCCGCGATGTCATCCACCACATTGTACAGACTAACGCTCCAGAAGAGCTCCCTGGCTAGGTCCAAGGGGTCCATGAGCATAACGCGAAGTAAGGTGGTAGCAAACCCACAGCCCGCGAGGGCCCCTTGGACGGCCAGCACAGGGGCCCCCACAACACCACACACATTGATAATTCTACGCCCACGGTAAAGCGACAGCAGTAGGCGGAGCTTCACAATGTGAAACTTGCGCCTGACGGCCGCGACGGCCAACAGATAATGGCAAACCTGCTCGTAGGCCTTCGTCAAGTCCACGAGACAGGCGCCTGGGCAGCCTCCTACACTGACGCGCTGCTGAACCGTCGAGCTCTGCTCCCATACCGCACGTTCACAGCTCACCGCGCACGCCGCAACGGTAACCGCGGTTATTAGCACGCTCCCAGCACTTAATCTCGCCCCGCGACAGCTTCGAGAGCACCCGAGTGGGAGTGGGCAGCAGATCTATCGGGCGAAAACCTCCCGGGGCTTGGACAGCATGGCAAGGACGGTGGTGAGGGGGATGGCGGGGTAGGTGCCCAGGTATCCCATCTTGACCCAAAGCGCCCCAAGAACCTCCAGAAGGCCATCCGAGGCCTTGTCCAGATCCCGCGGCCGAAGGGCGTCAACCCCACAAGCCGTGCGTTTCGGAAACTTCCTGATAGCCCCGAGAATGTCGACGACCGACCTCTCTCTAGAACACAGCTCCTGGACCGAAACACCTTTCTCAGCAGCCTGGGCATGGATCTGGCGGGTCAGGTACTGGACTGGGTCGGGGAACTCCGAGGCACCAGGGTGGGGCTTCCAGGTGTCACTCCAGAACAAGAGAAGCCCATTCACGGACTTTTGAGTCCCCAGCGGGGCCGATATCCCCCAGCCTTGATGGTGCTCGACTCGGGCGGCGCCCAACCGATCGGACTCTGCGAAAACTGATGCGCCTTGCCAGCGCCTGCAGATGCAGCCTCCTGCACCCGTCCTCGCCAGCGCCTGCCACGCTCGGAAGTACACTTGCGCCCCTGCACTCGTGCAAAACCTTCAGCCCCATCTCTCCAAGCCTTCAACTGCTCGAGAGACGCGTGAAACATACTGCCAAAAGAGGGCACCCACTGCTGCCACGAAGTGTCTCTGCGCAACGGCGTTGGCCCCCACTCGACAGACTTCAGTGGCCCAATAGACTCCCCCCCCCCCCAGCGAAGGCCCCGCTTCTTAATATGAACAAAATCCGAGAAAAGCTCGGACATACGTCGCCACCCCCTGCTTTCAGGACTCCCGACGGGATACCGACCACCCGAAGTTCTGTCAGCTGAAACCTTGACAGTGGCAGGTTCCTCAGCTCTGCCAAAGTACATCGATTGATCTAACACTCCGTGATAGGCCCCAAGCTCTCGCCCCAATCCTGCAACGAAGGCCCTGTAGCACACATCTAGCAAATCCCGATCCCCAACCGATCTAGCAGATTCAAGAAGTGCCTGATGCTCTGGCGGCTCTGGCATGGGTCCTAACACCACGTCCTGCGGGAACATCCTCGGCAAGCGCAGCGTCTGGACCAAGACACTGAGCGGCTCGCCTCGGCACATGACCACCACGGACCAGCGTGGCTTGACTGATGCCTTCCTACTGATGGCGCAAGAATGGACACTGCCTGCAAGACCTGCAGACATCACAAAGTAATCTATAGTTTTCCAGACCTTGGCAGTGGACCTGCAAGCACACGCCGGCGGCGTGACAATCTGCCCCCCAAGACGCCCTGCCCAGCCCATGTTCTGGAGACCCCTGGCGAAACATTCCAGTCTCCTCCCAAGACAAACGGCAAAGCCCAAGAGTGAATCTGCTCGCCTATCCGACTGAGCATTTGGCTTCCGATTGGACCCAGCGGGTCCTGGTCGGGGAGGTAGATGGATCCGAGGATGCACCCCCCTGGCACACGCGCTAATCCACAGCAGCTGCTGGCGGCGCGGGCACGGCAGGCGCCCCGCGCCCGTCGGCGGCAAGCCTAAGCCAACAAACTCTCTGCACGCAACCGTTGCCCCTCCTGACAGGCCCCCTGCGCTGTTGACCTCGGACGGGCGAACCCGCGCCTACCAGCCCAGCTTCTTGAGCTGGGACTCACATTCGACACGATCTGGAGGGTCAAAAGTTAGTTCCTGGAGCATAACGATGTGACTCGACGCTTCCCCCTGGAGAAACTGCTCCGCTGACGACCATGCCGTGGAATTACAAGCTTCGAGACAGAAAACCTCTCCCTGGCGAGACCCTGAAGATTTCTGCTTAAGCTTCTGCCCTGGCTGGGCAGCACGACTTTTCCGAATTCTCTGCGGCCCTGTAAGAGGCCAGGCACCAGGGGGAGAGGGAAGAGCAGAGGAGGGCAGGTCGGGGGGGTTCGAGCTCGGCGGGGGCGGGGGCCAAGCCGGCGTCCGGAAAAAGACCCCAGGAGGCCGCGAGGGGCCCACCGCCGCTTCGCCCCACCAGCTGGCGGGGCAAGGCAGGCTGCTACCTACCAGACGTCATGCTCTGCCCCCTGCCTGCCTCTCCTGACGCGCCTGGGATGCCTCCAGCACCCCCTCCAGCACCTCTTCCTCCTCCCTTGCTGCCCAGAGCCCCAGCGGCCTTGGTGCGAACATCGACCTTGGGCGAGTCGGCAGTGGCTCCACCACCGCCACCTGGGGCGCCGGCTGCGCCTGGGCGGGCGTCAGGGCCACCTGCAGCAGCAGCAGCGCCTGGAGGAGCACCTCCAGGGGGCGGAGCAGCCGTGGCGTGCGCGTCGCCCTCGCCCTCGCCCTTGCGCTTCTTGTGCAGCCTGTTGACGTGTTCGGAGTTCTCCTTGCGCAGCCTCTCCGCGGTCCCCTTGGCACTCCCAAAGAGCTGCTTCGCCATGTCCTGCACTCCCTGTCGCAGCTTGTCCTTTCTGGCAGCTGCTTCATTGCTGTCCGTGTCCGTGAACTCGCAGATGTCGGCAAGCCCGAAAAAGTCATCGCAGCCCTCGAGGTCGATGCACGACACGTCCCCCGCGAGCAGATGCTCCAAGAAGATTTTCGGCTTCCCCGTGGGCTGGCTGTTGTGCGCCTGGCTGTACATGGCGCTGAGCAAGCCCTTGTACTCCTCATCTGCCTCCCCAAGCTTCGTCTGCAACAGCTGGACATCCGCCTCCTGGTCCAGGACCGCTTGGCGGAAGCGCCCCAGCTTGTCAATAGCTCCATCCAACCTCTTCTCCAGGTGCTGGACTCGCTCGTGCGCACGATGCGCCCGAACCTGGAGCGGCGGCTCCTTGGGCTGGACAGCCTCCTTCTGCTTGAACCCCAACAGCTTCTCGTACTTCGTGACCAGCACCATGTCGCCCGTCTTCTTGCCAAGGGGGATGAGCTGCTCGATCTCGGCGATCGTGAACTGCTCGTCACCATTCCCCAGGCCAGGCGGCGGTTGCAAGCCGACCGAGCGGGGCTCGCCGTCCCCCGCGTCCTCCACCGCGAGCCCGCTCGCCTCCGCCTCCGCGGGGACGTTCCAGGCAACCTGGCAGTGGAGGCAGTACCACGTACTCCAGCCGTTCTTTTTGCAGCCGCAGTGCTCACACTTCCATTTCCGATTGGGCCCTTTCGAGCCGCCACGCGTGCCACTTCCACGCTGATCCGCCCAAGATACACTCTTCTGGTGTCCACTCGAGGCATCATCTCCCCACGCCATGAAGAAACGTGCGCCCGAGAATCTGAGCAGAGCCGAAACGTGTAGTGAGTAAAAACAGGATCCTCACCCTGGGAAGGGCCACTGATCGAGGGTCGTGCGGGTCTCTCTGACCAGCTCGAGCCCCAACCCCAGGGAAGGCGAAGGCCCCAGGCAATGGCTTGAGCCAAATGGCTTGAGTAAATTGGCTGCGGACCCCTCCTCCTCCTCCTCCTCCTCCTCCTCCTCCTCCTCCTCCTCCTCCTCCTCTTCCTCCTCCCCCGTCCCCCCACCAATTCGAAGGTTGCCTTCACTGGGTAAGACGATCCCGATGTTGGTGATGGTGAAAACTCTTCGACCGTGTAGGAAGCCCAGAAATCGCCGCCATCATCTGAGATCGGGATCATCTTCCCTAATGTGAGGCAACCGCCAATCTTGGTGTCGGTGCCAACACCTAAGCCCCCGACCCCTCCCTCCCCCCCTCCTCCAGCAGCTCAACTGCCATGCCCAAGTGTCTCAGCGCCGCGTCCAACGCCGCCGCGTCGGGCGCCCCTCCCTGCTGCCAAGCCGCAGCCTCCGCGCCGGCGTCGGCGTCCTTCGGGGGGGCTCTTGAGTTGAGCAAGGACCCCGACCACGACCGATCGATTAAAACAACATTGTCTCAGCCAGGAATGTTCCCAAAACATGTCGTGCAGACCACAGAAGTTTCTTAAGCATACTTTGGTGGGCCTGTAGGCAGAACGGCACTTGAAAGAGTTTGAGGGGGTCTCTTGTCCGAAGCAGGGATTGATCCATAATCGCCGCCTGGGGGCTTCAATCTTCGGGGACTCGGCAAGCGGTGGACGCATAAAAACTCCCATCCACAGCCGTTGCCTCGACGGTGCCGCCGCCAGACCTTTCATTTCAATGTTACGTTCGCAGCCGTTGTCGGGGTGCAAGCATCGGCATACAAAAAACACCCAAAACTCCTCCACCAACGCAACACCGTTCTGAAATTGGGGGGCACGGGGGCTCTGGCTGTATAATTGGAGGGAGGGTTTGGAGGGAAAGTCCGCGGGAGAGCTACAGGGAGGGTTGGAAGGACGCTTGGAGGGAGGGTTCGATGCGGCCGACTGTGGAACGATGCTGTTCAATGCAACGCACTGCGATGCCTAACCGTGCCACGCGTGCCCTGTAACGCAACGAAAATTGTCACACATGTTTCGGCCTCCTCGGGCTCTCGAGGGGTATTCCGGGGCGCCTCTTGCAGCAGGAAGGGCGCGGCACGCTCATTCCATGACGGTATGGGCAGAAGTCTCTGGCACGGCGTGAAACAGCCAATATTCAACGATCTCCGTCTTTCGGAGAGGAATCGTCGCCCACAGGGCGTTAAGCACCGCAGCTGGCGGTTGTTTCTAGAGTATCGAACGCTTCAAGGGAAATTGACGAGACCTGTGCTTGTCAAGGAACCTTGAACAATATCGCCACTTCCTGGCGGCATGGAAGACGGCCAGGGCAGGCGGCAGTGAGATCGATCTGATATTTGATGGAAAAGAGGGAATCACTCCTCCTCGACCCTCCAGCCTCGAGGACCAAGAAAACAGCAGATCGGAGGAGGGAGGAAGGACGACCAGGACGGGGGCGAGGACGGCGAAGGACGAACGGGACAAGGGGGGAGAGAACGTCGAGGGGAGGGAGGAAGACGAAGACTTCGGAATCGCTTCGTCGAAGTACTGGCTGTCCCGGGCAAAGCTGACCTGCTGGAAGATGCTCGACACCTTGCCGCGCGTCCCCTGCCCTGTTTCCCCTTTCCTGCCTGCGCACGTTTCCCCATCCACCGCGCCCCCCTGCCACACCGTTAATATCGTTCCTTTTTCCTCTGTCCGTTCCTTTCTCCTCCCTCCCCCATCCACGTCCACGAGCCCCTGGGACAGACACCTTCCTCCGTTGCATAAACCGTTCCGCCCTCCTCCTCCTAACGTCTAAGAGCGGTTTTGAAAAAAATCTGGCGGGGACAATGAACAGAAATAAATATTCGCGGCGCTGTAATGCGCATGTAGAAATCCAGAAGAAAGCGGGGCAAACCGGACCGTCGGGGACGTCCCCGCGACCGCCCTGGCACTCCGCGTCCAAGGGCACACTCCTGCGTTGGATTCGGGCGGGGGGGCAAGTCGTCAGAGACCCCCGCGTCAACGACGATCTGCGCCGATATTCGGCGCGTCAACGACGATCGACGCCGACACTTGGCACCGACGCTCGGCATCGACGCTCGGCGCCGACACTCGACGGTCACATCTGGCGCCGACAGTCGGCACCGCGCGCGCACCCACCACGAGTGCATTCGCAGCCCCATCGCCTCACCAGAGCGCATTCACCAGACATGCACTCTGGTGAGTGCACCCTGGGCATCCAAAAGGATGCCCATAGTGCAGCGACCCATGCATGGCGACATTTCCACCGCGAGCAATACAAACAACGCCACACGCGCGCGTCGGCACATTGTAGGCTGAACCGAAAAACAAAAACGTAAAGACCGTAAGCCAATTTGGAAACCCAATCGGCAACCGCTGGAAAAGGTGTGTTCCACATCGCACGCCAGCACGGCGACCTTCCTATCGCGCACAAAACAGAAACCGCCACGCGAACGCGCGCATCGGCGACTTGTAGGCTGCACCAATGGACAAAAACGTAGAGACCGCATGGTCCGTGCGACGTCCCTACGGCGGGCAACACAGAAACCGCCACGCGCGCTCGCGCGCGTCGACGGACTGTAGGCTGCACCGATCTACGAAAACGTGGAACGACCGCACGTTAAACTTGGAACTCCCATGAGCAAGCACACAGGGTTCACTTTAGTTCCCAGGCCAGCATTGGCTGCCCTTTCTTCCTTTGAAAACTCTGAGCTTTTGAAAACGACGTGCGGACACAAGGCGGCACTGTGGGGCATGATTGGCGGCACTTAAGAGACCATGCCTGGCACTCGAAAACTCATGTTGGGATTCAATGGCCATTATCAAAACTAAGACCACAGAGCGCAGACCATTAACAACATAAGGCCGCGAATGGCGCACCATAGACGAAATATGGGACAGCGACAGAAGCACCCGCCAACCCATTGGGACGCAGCACGCCGACCACGCGCCACCCACCCCCTCAACCCATCAACGACCCCCCCCCCCCCCCCCCCGTCAGCCACAACTACACCACCATAGACACAAGTCACTACTACTCCCATTATAGATGACCTGGAACACCCATCTGGAAACATTGTCAGCATCGTCGACGCCGCCGTCCTTGTCAATCGCAGAGATGCCTCTGCACAATGCCATAATGAAACTGTCACCAGCTATGGGCTATGCAATGCACTGGCCGTCATCGCAAATTGTTGCAACCAGATCCATCTATCAACACCGCTCTCAAGCCACAATAACATCGGACAGTTCTGTGCATATTAATGTGAGATGTTATGCTATACCCATATTGTCACTATGATATGCTATGTTAGGCTATTCTATGTCTATGTTATACCATGTCCAAGCTTGCCACCATGCTCTGCTATGATATGGTATGATGTGATACGGGTTGATGTGCTACTATACTGGATGATATGATGTCATCTGTTATGATGTACCATGTACATATTCATAGGTTGTCTTGCTATGTTGCGCTATGATATGTTATATCACGTCATACCATCAACTACCTTATGTTTTTCTTAAGTACCGAGGCGGCAACTACGCGGCAATAAGGCATCGCTCGCTGCGGCACTACGCCGGCAAGAACGCGCTACTAACATGCGCTGGCGCGCGGCAATGTGGCGGCACTTAGCCGGCAATAAGGCGGCCCTAAAATGCGACTTAGCGCGGCACTTACGCCGGCACCAACGCCGGCAGTAAGCCGGCACTTAGGCGGCACTAAGGCTGCCCCCAAGGGCACCCTTCAAATGATGCCGAGGGGGATGCCGGCACTTAGGCGGCACTTAGGCCATGGGTTGAGGCGGCGCGCGCGGCGCAACAAGGAGGACACCCCCCGAGGGCCAAGGTCGTCGGTTAAAGGTCAAGGTTTTGGGCCTCGGTTTTCAAGGTTTAAGGCTTGAGGTCAACGTCCAAGGTAAAAGGTTCAAGGTCACTTGCAAGGTCAAGCAAGGTCAGTAGTAGTTGTTCCAAGATGGCTCCAAGACGGCATCAAGAGGGCTCCAGGATGGTACCAAGACAGTCCGAGAAGCCCTCCAAGACGGCTAAGACTGCCTCAAACGGCCTCCAGCACAACCCTAAGACGCTTCCAAGACGTCCAAGACGCCCCCAAGAGAACCCGAGTTTGCCCAAAGATGTTTCGGAGATGGCCGATCGTCGCGACATTAATTATTGAGGCGCGATGTTGATTAGGCGCGATATTGATTATAGGGGAGCAGCCTTGAGGCGGCCGCAGGATGAGAGGACAACATTCATTCGATACTTGCTTCAAGTTTCAAGTTGTTTTGATCTCGACGACCGCCGCATTGATCCAAGCACGCCTTGACTCCTCACGGTGGCCTGTGCCGCCGTGCCGTCGAGGCGCACGCGTGGCTCCCTGGGCCGTGGCCAAACTCCCCCTATGTCTGGCGATCGACCACCTAAAGTGAAACTTCAAACTTGAACTGGTCCTCGCTTCCTGAAGACAGGCCGGACTGGTCCCAGCTTTGGGCGTCTGGGCATTCAACTCTTTGGTCGGGCTCTCTTCATTTCTGTCAACCCACCCAAGTTGCTTCCACACCAAAGGGTCACTCATATCGAGCTTGCTAAAGTTGATCCATCCATTTTGCTTCCAGGCCTCGGGGGTCTCGTTCTCGTAGTCCTGCCAACCATGCTGCTTCCCATCCTTGGATCAGTGGGATCGGCATTGCTTTTCCAGCCCAGGGGCTTCCACGCCTCGGGGTTGTCCATGTCGAGCTTGTAGTAGTCGATCCACTTAGACGGGTCTTTCGTCCACTTGCGCTCGCGCTGGCCCGCATTATTCTGGCTGCTGTCGCCCTCGCCCACGGATGACCTGACATACTGTTTCTGCATCGGCATGATCTGCGGCAAGTAGCCTCCAAGGTTGCAGATGGCCTGGAACTCAAGTAGTTTGGAAATCGACTGCCCGACGCACTTGCTCTTGGCTTGCAGGGGCCTGGTCATCTCGCACTTGGCCATCCTCTCGTTGGTGGTGGACGTGCGACCCTGCTCCACGATCACGAGGTGCATGTCCAGCTTTTCTTTCATCGCGATGAGCTCCTCAACCTTGATGTCCGCCACCGCCCTCGACGCTTCCACGTGGCAGGCCGTGATCTGCACTTGCGCCATGGCTTTCTTCATGTAGATCGCGCATTCCCCGATGCCCCCACGTGGCCCTTCGCTCAGTGAACTCTGGGGCCACGACGCCTGCTTGATCATGGCCGCTGCGCCCTACTGCTGCGCGTCGCTGGGCGGGGGGCCAGGGGCAGCCGCAGAGAAGGCTGTGCGCTGCGCGCTGCACAGGCCGCGCGAGTAGTCGCTGTAGCCTGACCCCTGTAGCTTATTACTTACTCGAGCCAGGCAGCCGCTAAATGCACTCTAGGTTCAGTGTTGTCGCGTTCTCTGCGTCTCTCTATCGCACCGTCGTTTGTCGACGCAGTTGGCGCAGGAGTCGAGGAGGGCCCCAGGGGGCCCGGGGGCTGGAGAGCCCCATGGGCGAGGAGGAGGTGGAGGAGGTGGAAGAGGTCCTGAGTAAACCCGGGATACACCAGCGATGCCGCAGTGCCCCCTCACGCCGCGAGCCCCCGCACCCCTCGCAACGCGCCCTTGCTGGCAGCATTCCTTGACGACGACGACGAGACTCGAGGCTAGGACTGGGGATGGGGGCACAGATGACTAGGATAGCCCCCCCACCGCCTCGGAAAGCGGTTTGGGGAGAGGGCGGAGGGCGGAGGGGCGCGGGGGCAGGGGCGACGGAATGACATTACCTCATTACCCATTTTCTCATTACCTCATTACCTCATTACCGCATTCTTCACTATTCACAATTCAGTGCGCATCATTCATCACTCATTTCTTCCCTCTCCCCATCTCCCCTTCCCCCTCCTTCTCCTCCCCCTCCCTCCCCCTTGCTCGGGGCCGCTTGGGGCCCGGGGCTGGGGGCGTAGGTCGCGGCGCAGGGCTAGGGGCTGAAGGCTAAGGGCTCAAGGCTCAAAGTGCGAAGGGCTTAGGGCTTAGTTCTTAAGGCTCGGAGCTTAGGGCCCAGGGCATAAGCTGCAAGGCTCAAGGCTCAAGGCTCGGGCTGAAGTCTCAGGGCTGAAGGGCCAGGGGCCAGGGCGCAGATCTAATGGCTCAGGGCGCAAAACTTAAGGCTTGGGGCTCAGGGCTCAGGGCCCCGGGTCCAGAGCTCAGAGCCGGAAACTGAGGGCTCAGGGCGTGGGTTTCGGGGCCTAGGGCTCAAGGCTCAAGGCTAAGCGCTACTGGCTTAGGGGTCAAGGGATTAAGGCTTAGGGCTTAGGGTTTCGAGCTCAGGGCTCTGTGCTCAAGGCATAGGGGTTAGGGCTTAGGGCGCAGGGCTTAAGGCTCAGGGCTCAGGGCTGAGGGCTGAGGGTTGAGGGTGGAGGTTGAGGGCTTGAGCTTTTTGGCTCCGGGCTGAAGGCTTTGGGCGTAGGGGTTGCGGATTAGTTCTTAGGGCTCCGAGCTCAGGGCCTAAGGTTTAATGCTCAGGGCTCGGGGCCCAGGGCTCGGGGCTGAGGGCCTTGGGCTGAAGGCCCGAGGCATCGGGCTTAGGGCTTAGGGCCCAGGGC